AGAATGAAATGAATATTTTATTAAAGAAAAAAAGAAAAATATAAGAAATTATCATTATTATCTCAAAAAAAAAAGATTAATCTTCATTTTTATCTAAATCATCTTCTTCTGTTTGTGTATCGGCAGGATTTGGTTCAGTTTGAACAATAATTGGATGAGCAGTAGCAATCTTTGCTTGAGCTTCACTTAATGTTTCTGCACGATAAACTTTTTCACGAATCCATGGATGAGAAAAAGCTTGTTTGACTGTAAGACGTTCAGGAACATTTACTTTAAGAAGTTTACTTACAAAACTCTAATGATAGAAGAAAATTTTCGATATGTAAACCAAAAAGAAAAATTTAATTAATTAACATTACTTTTCCATTTGCTGATATATGTTCCCATTCAGATGAATTGTATTCAATATTACCATTGAGAATTTTTTGAAAAATTTTCTTTTGTGTACCATGGAATGGATATGAAGCCGTAAGACTAAACAAAATAATTTAGAACAACTGAACATATATTTATTAATTTAATCTTACCAAAAATAAACCAATATACCCAATTGCCACATATCCGATGATGCAGAAAATGGATCACCACGTAGAAGTTCAGGTGCTTTAATTTAGATGAAAAAAAAGTTTAAAATAAAAGATTTTATTTTATTACATACCACAAAAACTTGGTGAAGCATTTACAAGTAGAGTAATTGCATCACGTGTACATAAATTTGAATAAGCATAATCAACAAGACATAATTTAGATTCATTTTCAACATTACGAATGACAATATTTTCACCATGAAGTTTTCCATGATAAACTTGATGTTCATGCATATACTATTTAATTAAATAAATAAATAATTTTTTTGTCATATTGTTTCATCATACTTCAAGTCCTTTTAATATTTGTGAACAATATTTCGATATGTCGTGTTCTGTATAAACTTCCGTTTGGCCAATTCTGATAAATGAAAGAAATAATTATTATAATGAAATAATTTTTTTTTTACTTTTGAAAAAGATTCGGTCCATCGATATAATCTTGAACAATATAAATTTGTGATGGTGTTTCAACAATTTCTCGAAGAACAACCTTTAAATAATAAAATAATTTTGAACAGTTTCATATTTTAAAGATGAAAAATTTTTCTTACCAAATTTGGATGATCAAGTTGTGTAACATGTGAAGCATTTTTAAGTGGAGTTTTTCTATTACCCTATAGAAGTAATTATTATAATTTAATGAAAATTTATATATTTATAACGTACGCGTTTTGGAATACATTTAACAGCTCTCATTGTCTGTCGATTTTTTAATCGACATTTATATACATCAGCAAATTCTCCACTATAAAAAGAAATTGATTATATAAAATTATTGTTATTCTATTATTCATTACTGATTAATTAATTTATCAAGATCATAAATATCTTCAAATTTATCTACGAATGTACTACCACCAATCGATCTTAATTGTTCAGTTGATAAGTTTTCTTGTTGTTGTTGTTGTTGTTGTTGTTCTTCTGCCATTATGAATATATGTACCTTGACAATGGTAAGCGTAAAAAGTGTAGTGACAGCAAGACTATATTATTCTATAGATTTAAAAGCAAAGCGAAAGAAAAACACAAAACATTGATCGTTGATAGAAATAAAAAAGAAATTCTTTAGTTACGCGACGATAGAAGAGGAGAAGAACAAGAAGTGTTGCCTTTCTCTTTCTTTTCTTCTATTCTCTGTTAGCTTAATATGTGTTTACAAGGATATTAAATTTTATATTTAATTGACTGTTACTTCTGTTTCTTTTTTTTTTCTTATACCAAACGAAAATGTAAACTTTGAAAAATGTTCATTACGATAGTAATCAATTTTTCTATGTAGTAAGCAACTGTGCCTCATCCCAGTAGCGGATTTAGAGGGGCGATCATCGCCCCCCCCCCTTCCAAAATCCTAGATCCGCCACTGCCTCATCCGAATCATTATTGTTAGAAATAAATTTTTATGTTAACTTCTGTAAATAATTTTGATTTTTTCTAAATCTTTATATTATCGACGTTTCATACAAAAAAAAGCAAATAAATACAAGACAACAGTAGTGCAAAAAAAAAATATTCATTGTAACAATAGAAATAGAACGGCTTAATTAAAATGAAAGCACCGGTTTACATTAGTTCTAAACGGAATATTAATATTTGTTTTTTTTTCACCATCTCACTTGTCCTTTATATTCTTCTTTTAATGATATTCGTTTAACTGTTTCATAACCAAATATAATAAATAATGAATAAACACATGAATGTGATAGACGAGCTGTTAAACCTTTTGTAAATATACCAGCACCTTCTTCTTGCCATAATTCACGCATAATTTGTGCAACTCTTCTTCGTTCTTGTTCAACTTGTATACGAGTACGACATACATCAAGTGGATTTGTAAGAATAGTCGATGTAAGTGATGATAAAGGACCAGCAATACATTGAATAGCAAGTAATGGTAATGGAAATAGACTTGCTAAAAACAAAATTTATGAATCAAAACCAAATATTTCAAGTACTGACATATGCTATCTAGGAATCCTCTCAAGTTGATAAGTTTCTTTTTGGGGGGATTTTGTTCTATATATAGTAACTATGTGGACCATAAACCCACACTCAAGATTAGAACTCAGTACATGCCTAAATGAAATTATCTTACGAAATATTGTTTCAATTTTAAGCATTTGTCGTTGATAAAAATAATATGATGGCCACCAAATCGCACTTGTTAAACTGAATAAAAATGTTGAAATCATATAACCACGATAAAAACCTCTTAAAGTTATTTGTGGTTTTTGATTTTTATCTACATTATTTTCATATAATAATGTTCTACATATATGTTTAAATATTAAATAATTATTAGCGCGAATTTCATTTGGTACATGTATACGTTGAATTTGACGTTGTTGACGACGAGTTGATGATGTTTTAGATAATTCGGTATTCGATACAGCTGACATACCATCTTTAGAACGAGTTACTCTTCCTGGTGATGTTAATCCAACTAATTGCATATGTTGAGAAACAATATCAATAGGACATGCAAGTACTTGAGCAAATAATGAAGCAATTGTACCACCAACACCAGCACGTAAATATTCATTTTTAGTTAAAATATTAGCACGAGCACGTGTTGCTTCAAATGTTGTTATATAAATAAGACCAGGTATTAATTGACAATTATAAACAAGAAAACCTTTGTATAATGATCGAAAACCTTCATAACGAACGGTTGTATGTAATGCATGCCATGTACCTTTATATATTGTTGATTGAATTTGAACTTGTAAACGAGTACGAACAAGTGTAAATGGATATAAAAATGAGCGAACGATAAATGTTGATAGAAGATTTAATGGAACATATTTTTTTTTATCGAGCATTTGCCAATCGATGTCATGTGTTAAAACTGGTTCACCGCTTTCAGACATGAATTACTTAAAAAAAAAGAGAGAGAGAGAGACAAAAAATTTTTTTTATCAGAATTCAGATATCTTATGAAATATCTATTTATAGGTTTTTTTTTAATATATAAACAAACAAAGAAACTTATGAAAAACGAAACTTTTAGAACAATGAAGATGATTAGGTTTTTTTTAATAACAGAAATTATCCAAAAAAAAAAGAAATGTCATTTTTTGTACGAAAAAAATTACATAGAAAAAGAAAACGCTAGTTTTGTCAAGATGATGATAGTGGTGTTGCTCGTTGTTGAACGATTTTTTGTATTAAACTTCGAGTTGCCATAAATAAAACTTGAAAACGTTTAGCTAATGGTGTTGTTGGATTCGTTTGGATATATTCATATAGTTTTTTAGTTAGATCAATGAGTATATTCTGTGAATAATCACGTGCACTTGGATGTGATAAATCAAGACAAATTAATGCTTCATGTAAATAACTATGACAAGAAAAAGAAAAGAAAAGGATAAGGAAAAATATATAAAAGAATTGTACTTGTATTTAAGTTCTTGTTTTGTAGTTAAATCAGCAGCAAGTTGTTGTATCAAAGAAAGAAGAACAGGTGTTTGTAATGGACATGGTTGAATAGAAAATAAATCTGCTGGACGAACATTTTCACATAAATATAAAACAAGACTTAAATCTGATGCTGATAAAACAAATTCAAATGCTTGATTCAATTGATTAAGACGAATAAGTTTTAATACATGTTGTTGTTTAGTATCTGATGGTGAACTTGTATTAGTTATACTAGGTGATGCTACATTCGTAGTAGATACAGGTGTTGCCGTTCGACTAACAGTTGGATTTAAAGTTGTAGTTTGTCGAAATAGAGTATTGATATCATTCTTTTGTGTTGCTAATACTTCACGAAAGATTGAAGCTGTTTCCTCACGTAGTATTGATCGTGTTGTTTCTCGAATTCTATAAAAGAAAAAGAATTACAATTTAAAATAAGATTATTAAATGTACAAAAAGAGTCATAAATCTGAAAAGATAATCCTTAGCGGCAGTGTGTGGGTGTAGAAGAAAAGTAGTCCATACCTATACATCCACATATACACTCCCCCACACCCACACCCTCACGACTCTTACTATTATCCGCTTATGTCTCTGCTGAAAACTAACAAGAAAAAATACGATCATTTTTTAATACTACTATCATTAATTTCCTTAAAGATTTATAATTAAGAATATTATTCTTACAAAGGTGTAAGATTTGTTGTTAGATGTTGAGTAATTTCATGTTTAAGTACATTTGTTAATTCTTGATTTTTCTTTTCAAATTCTTTATTTAATTGTGTTGTTTCTTTACGAATTTCACTCATCATTTGTTCTCGTTGTTGAATTAATGAACGTTGTTGTTGTCGACCATATTCAATCATTTCTTGTAAATCTAAAATCTTTTATTATATGAAAAATTCTTATTTTGTTTTTTCTTCTCTACATACATTCTTTTGTACCACGTTTAAATACATCATTTGTTTGTTGAAACATATTTGTTACAGCTTTTTCAAATGATGGTATAACTATTTGATTAAATGTATCACGATAAGATGTTATCATTGTTGTTTGAATTGCATTAGATACTGCATGACTTAAAGAATCAACCATTGTCTATTATGAAATAAATAAGAAGTTTTTGAAATAAAACAGAAATATAAAAACAAACTTTTGAACGAAATATTTGTGTAATTGTTTGTCTGATAACATTATCAGTTGATAATAATTTAGCAGCAAGATCTTTATGTAAATTATCTTTCATTTCTCTATATGGTTCAAATACAGATTTCATTGCTAGAAGAAAAAAAAAAATAAAATATTTTAAATTCTAATAAAAAGATAATATACCGCTTTGTACATATGTTTGAATTTTTTCAATAAGTATAGCTTCTAAACGATCATAATGTGTATCGGATAATGTTGTTTGTGATTCATTATTTGTTACAATGTCTAGTGGAAATGAATTTGGACTTGGTCGACTTTGTCGAGATACAACACCTAGAAATGATGCATTATTATAAAGTAAAGAATATTCTGATGATAAAGTACACATTATAGTATCTATTTTTATAAAAGTATTATTTTTGAATGTAACAGCTGTAACATATAAAAAGAACTTTCTTAACTCGTATCATCGATAAAGTAAAAAGACTTGAAATATCTCTTATAATTCATTTTAGTATGGATAAAATGATCTATGAGTATTTACTTGATGGTTCGAAACTAAGTAATCTATCAACTTTGCTTGTTAATTGTTCAAGACGTTGACAACAGTGATCAAGTTTATCGTCATTATACGAATCAGATGTTATTTGTGACATAGATTCTGATGCAAGATTTGTTGTTCGTGTACGTAATTCATTTAATACACGAGTTAATTGACGAATTTCATGTAAGGACTAAAAAAATAAGAATAAAATATAAGAAAATATAATTCATCTTATATTATTTTTACATCATTATTTAATATTAATTGAGAACTATTTGGTGACCGTCCACTACGTCGTTTAATACGTGTATGTAAAAGATCTTCTTCATCAGCTGTTGAATCATCATCTTTATCACTTTAAATTAAAAAAAACATAAAATAATTCGAATATTTATATGAAGCGTATACCTTGTTTCAGTCGGATCACTATAATCATCAATATCTTGACGATTCGATGCATTTAACCCTCTTGAGAAAAAAATAACGAACGATTGATAATGAAAAAAAAGAGAATATTTCTCCCTCTTCTTACTTAATTGGACTTTGTTTTGACCAGAGTGAATTATCACTATATTTTTGTGATGATAATAGTGCATCTTGATTACCATTAACCTAATAAAAACTTAGTTTATATTCATCAAAATCGCGAAAAAGCTCATACCGGTTCATCATCAGTAATTGTTTTTATTGGCATAAATACTACATCAACATCATCATTATCATCATCTGGTACTAGAAAATAATTGATTTCAATATAGAAATAAAAATAATTCTCAACAAACATACATGCTTCAAATGGAAGAGGATAATTTGTTGAACATGACATACTTTCAGCAACTTCTTTATCAGCTAAATCATATGGTGATTGTGATATACCTAAATAATTCATATAGAATTATTTTAATTAATAAATCAATTGTTTACCATTAATAATTAATCGTGATGAATCTAAATCAGTATTTCCGCTTGATTGAAATCGATTAATAGGACTTGTAGTTGCTGCTGCAGTAGCAGCTATTTGTTTTTGTGATGGTGAAGTATGTGAACGATGTTCTTGTTGTTGAGTTGTAATAGCATCAAATGCTGTTGTATTACCAAGTAAGAGACCATGAAGAGGATCCATTGTTGATGTTGGATGTGAGTTTGTTGTCAATCCATCGTGGCTAGCAAGTAATGAACGTGCTGTATCACCATTAGCTAAACCTGTTATATTCGTTAAAGAACTATCTGGTGTAAGTAAATCATCAATACTATATCTATGAAAATTACAATTAATATTAAAACAAATTGAATGAATGAATCATCTTACGGTGGTGGAAGATTTATAAGATCACCAACGGGTGGTTCTATAAGATTTGTAGTCATTGGCAGTAATGGTAAACCGTCATTAGTTAAATGAGATATATATGGTTCAAAACGAAAATCTAATAAATATAATTTCATATATGCAAAAAACATCTACCATTGCCAATTTTTCTACCTTCAACAAGACCATCTTGCATTGAATGATTTTGTACATCGGAATATTCAGGAGGATTTAATGTCATAAAACGATTTGTTTTGAAAACAAGTAACATTTCTTGAAAAAACCTGAGAAAAACAAATAAATCATAGTTTTTTTTATAGGAAACATATTTTTTCTTTATAATCATACTTTGTATGAATACTATACATTCTAACACCATAAGGAACGAAATCTGTATGTTCATCTAAATATTCAAAGTTAATGAAAATTTTATTAGAAAAGTGTTAAAAATCTTACGATTAATTTGGTTCGCAGCTGTAATAGCAAAACTTAATGATGGAGAATTAAATGAAGTAAAAGCATTTATTGATGAGAAATTAGCTCGATTATTTTCCGCATCTTGATATATAGTTAAAACATATATAGACTAAATAGAAAACATGAAATTTATTTTTATAAATGGCCAAAAAAAAGTCTTTCATACATTTCGATTTATATCAGAAAGTACAAGAAAACGTGAAGTGAGATCAATAGAAGCTTTTAGAATAGGTAATTGAGATGTGGAATGAAATACTGAATCAATAAATGAATATTGAAAACTTTAAATAAATAGATATAATATAATTTTAAAGAAATTTAGTTTCAAACTACCGAATAATTTGTAAACAACTCCAGTTGAAACAACTCCAAACTTTAAGTTCTCGATTTTGATCACAACCTGTTACTGCATAACGCCATAACTGAGTACTAATAAATATGAAATTTTAACACTGAAATTATAAATTTAATATACAAACTCTTGTGTTAAATTTTTATGATCATCGAGAAAAAATAATGATGAAATAGGTCGTCCTTCATGTGGTTTCCAAAGATGTAGACATCTATAATAAACACGTTCAAAATATTTATTTAATATATAAATAATTTCTACCTGCAGGTTTGTGGTTGATCAAAATGAATTGAAAAAAATTTGATTTCACCTTTATCTGTCCCAGTACCTAATGCAGTAGCATCTGGAGAGAAACATACACATGTAACATTCTAAAATTACAAAAAAAAGTTTATTTCAAGAAATAATAATTCGTCAAAACTTACACCATTATTATCGTCATATGTTAAACGACCATTTTCAATTTGATTTAATGTTAACATATTTTCTGATATACATGATTGAGATGCAATAGCAACATTTAATACTTCAACCTAATTAAAAATGACTTCATTATAAAAACAAAGATCGTAGGAAACAAACATGTGAGCCATGAGTAACACTCATCATTGTATATGAATCACTATCTTCACTATCATCCGGTATAAAACAGCACCATGATAACGTCGGAGGAGATTGACTATTTGAATATTGTAAATCAATAAATAAGATCAGTGTATGTCTATTAGAATAAAAAAATTTCTTTTTTTATAAATTCTTTTTTTTTATTTTTACTGTAATTCATTTGGTTCATCATTTTTTTCTATTCGATAAACACGTAAATGAGATGCTTGATCAACACATGCCAGTAGAATGTCGTCAGAAGATGAAAATGCTAAATCATATATATCACCTGTAAATGGAGGATTTATCACAGATCGATAATCCACTTGTTTATAAAAAACACAAACAATATCATCACCGTTTTGTCCTAAGAAAAAAATAAATTAAATGAAATAATAGATAAAAGATTAACTTACGTTTGAGAGTATAAGCAACAAAATGTCCACATGTAACTACTAGATGACCTGAATAATATCGTGATTCCCAATTATGATCAATAATTGGTTGAGAAAAAATCTTGAAAAAACAAAAAATAATTATGAACGAATTTGAGAAATTATCAGAATTTATTTATTGAAAAAGATTTAACTGTACGAAAAGGGAGTCATTAGATTCGAATCTCAAGTTTGGTACTGAACAGATCCTAGTTAGAATCTTTGCCTATCAGATTAATTACACTCAGTCTTTTGTTTTTAAATAGATTTCGATGATGTATGAAAACGATTTATTGCATCATTCTTAAGATATTGAATATGAGAATCAATCCGTCCAACTTTTTAGATTTCTTTCAATATCGTGAACATACAAATTGCAAACGAATGATATTTATTTTCAATTTTAATTTCTCATATAATCATTTATAATTCCCAAGAGTTCTAACTTTGCAAAGTAATCATTTTTATTTCTTATAATTCATTTTTTGTAAATAAAATTATCCTACACACAATAATTTCATATATAGAGATAGAAAAATAAATATGAGTTTTTTCTTCCACGGATAAAAATAGTTTCCTTCAAATGGAACATCAGCACTTTTATTCTGCTTCAATGAAGCAAAACAAATAAGGTTTTACTCATTTAAAAAAGAATCTTCGACATACTTGATTCACATCATTCGTTGGTGTTGTTTCATTAAGAATATTTTTTCGATTTGTTAATTGTATTTCGACTTCATGTTGCGATATTAAATGTGTAGATTGAATTGGATCATTATTATTCAATTCACTAAATAGAACGGATACGTAATTTCAATATTAGCATATAAATATATTTTTTCTTACATTTGTTGATGACGTTTATCATCTAAATCGAATGTACTATAGAAATAAAATCAAGATAATAAAATATGTTAAAACCAGAATAAAACAAATAACTTACATATTCATATCTTTTTTGATAATAAAATAATAGAAGAACGAAAAAAAAAGTAAGCAAATAGTTAATTATTAATAAATATGATCTAAAACAAACTTATATGTGTCAAAACAGCTTTCGATCATTAACCTTTTTTCTCTCAATATTCTAGGTAATTTATTCCAATATGTTCCGAATTCCAAGGCCAATCAATAACCAATAAACTACTGAACACGAATAGAGAAGAAAGAGAAGAAAAAAAATGAAACATTTACATTCTTCTCCGATCGACTAACACGTCCACGCGAACAGATACATATAAGCTTCACTCAAAATATTTCATCTATTCCGCTTCACTCCTACATATATATAGTCACAGGCATATATATATATGTATGTATACAGAAAGAATCGAACTATAATTGTAACTATTAAATATGGATACGTCTATAGCTACCAATGATGAACAACAACTTATACAAATGTCTGCATTATCACCGGAAGAGAATCCTGTAATTATGCGTGAAACAATAAATTTAAATAATAATGAAATAAAAGAACAAACAAAAGCTGAAATTAAACAGCAAACATTTGTTTTACGTTTATTTTCATGGCCTATACGAATTCTAACATCAATACACATACCACATTTTTCTGATCATGGTTTACGTGTAACATTTCTCTTATTTATTACATTGATTGGTTTAACTAGTTTTACAAGCGCACTTATTATAGGTTCAAGTGTAGTACAATTTAAACAACAATGTCCATTATATGCATCATTTAAATTTGAAAGTGTAACAAAACTAGATAATAATTACACAGTTAGACTTGTACAAAATTCAGAAAGATTTAGTCCACCATCAACATGTGATTTTTGTACATTCTATAATGTATTCACATTTATTTATTGTATTATGACAGGATTTTTTTTTGTATTATTTAATGGTGATCAGAGAATTGTTAAATCAAATGATCGATGTTTAATTATACCATGGTAGGGAAAATTGAATGACTTTAAATCTACTAATTTCTCATTATTTATTTCTATAGGTTTCCAATATCTATTACACTCGGTCTTTTGGGCTTAATTAATGCATCTATATTAACAAATGGTTTTCTAAAATTTTGCTCAAGTATTACCTCACATGATAGTCGTATTGATTCATGTACTCTATTAAATCGAATTTTTTTCGAACAATATCCAAATGTTTCATCATTCTTTATCTATATGCTTATAGCTATTATAGGATCATGGATTCAATTAGCATTTTTCATTGGTGTTATTGCTATTCTTTTAATTCGTCTCGGTTCGTCATTCGACTGGAGTAATAATAATAATAACAAACATCTAAATGGAAAACCAATTAACATAATTATGCAATCCATCGAAAAACCGTAAGATATAGGAAAGAAAAACAAAAGACTTATTATTTAGTTGCAAAAAACATTTATTTCGTTTGTTTGTTTTTTTTGTACATAAACTTAAAAAAAAAGACATAGAAGATCAAGAACAAAAAAAAAATGCTGCCTGATAAATCAAAAAAAAGTTACATAACAATTTCACCCGGTAGGTTTGAAATAGGAAGAATCAAGTTTTAGACATGTATATATATGCATATATATATATATGTATAAAAATTTCTTGTCAGATTTGAGCTATATGGCAAGAAAAACTGTTTATAGGTTCTTTTTATTTATCATTTAATCACTGGTATACCAAATTAAATTTAACTTCGAACACCGTCTTTTTCAAGTTTTTCAAATACTTTTCGTGCACTGCGAATATTCATTAAAGTTACTTCCGATGCTAAATAAAAAAAAAGTATATATAACTTTTAAATAAAATAATTCTGAGCGTGCTAAGTTTCACTAATATATTACATCATAGGTTACTGAGGGTAAAGATAACATTGAGACAGATAATGTCATCTGCTGATACTGACGGTAAACATTCAAAAATAAAAAATTCTTTAGATAAAACTTACATATTGTTGGATCACTGATTACAACCATAACATAAGTATTTGGTGTACATAATTCAATGAAACATGCAAATGTAGAATTTCGTACTTCCATTGATTGAAATGCTGCAGCTAATTTACTATAAAGAAAAATTTGAATTAATATTAAAGATAATCTTCTATTTACCTGCAAGATAATTTAAACTGTTTAATAATATCACTAATTTTTTCAAATCGATGTGAATCCCGATGTTCTTTACGTGTACAATGTGAAATAACCTATTTGATTCATTTTATAAAAAAAAAACAATAAATTTCTTCCTTTAATTAATAAAATCTTTTTACCAAAAAAGTTGCTTTTTCAAATAGAAGAATTTCATCTGCATCAATGATTTCAGCGAAATTTTCCAATGTTTTTTCTAAACCTTTAACATTCGGTACTAATTGATAAACAATTTGTGACCAAGCCTATAAATATTCATCTATATAGTTTTCATTTAATCTTTGTTTTTCCTTACTCGATAAAGTGTTTCATCATAAATAGATGTACGAAAACATGAACATTGTAATGGTTTTGATAAATCTTGTAATATATTTTCACGTTCAGTAAATATCTATAACGAAAAAATCGTATTTAAAATGATATAAAAAAATAGAGAATATTTTTTTATACTGTTGTACGCATTTCTTCCGATATTAAATCCATTTTATGTATAAGACAAAAAATTTTTGCATTACATGAATGTTGTAAAATAGATTCAAGACATGATTGATAATAATGTAAATCCTTTAGAAAAAAACAATCATAGATAATTCTAATTCTATATTTTTATTGATACATACTTTATCTACTTCTTGACTTTGAATATCAAATACATAGATAAGAACTTCAACATTTTTAAATATATTATCTTTTTGTGTAGCAAAATATGATTCCATAAATGCTTCTTGACCACCACAATCCCATAAATTTAATATTAAATTACCAAGAAAACGAACATAAGATTGTTCAACATCCACTAGAAGTGAAAAAATCGAGAAATAATTTTAATGAAATTATTTAAGAATTGTCTTTTTTTCTTTTAGTACTTGTAGCACCAAGACGTCGTGTATCTTTTGCACTGTAATTAGCAAATATAATTGAACGCATTGATGTTTTTCCACCACCACTTTTACCCATTAATAAAACCTATCGGAAAAAAAATAGAATAAAATATCATTTTAAAAAGAGATTCTATTCACTTTTTTTCGCATCATTTCTACGTTGGATGAATTTGTAATGACTGAAAGATAAAGTCCTTTTGTTAAAAGAACAAGATATTTTGTGTTAGTTGTTTTAAAATTTGATATTTTGTCAAAGTATGAGATTTTTCGTATTGTCTCTAGTTGTTTATTTACTTCTTTTTCATTCAAGCGCTTTTTATTGGTCAAATGTAATAGACTTATTTCGAAAGATGATAACAGATGGCGTGAGATATCTATCCAAGCAAAAAATTTTTTTGATAATTGACGAGTTTCAAAAATAATCATTAAGTTGTGTCATATATTTTATACTTCGTTATATAGCTTTGACTTCTTCGTGAATATGAATGTTGTTTACTATGATATGATCGAATTCGAATGATAATTAATTATAACATATCTATAAATAGCCATAGTATTATAAAATAAATTGAAATAAAAGTGAGACTATATTGTAACTATTTTATTAATAGATAATTTTCTTTTATTCTAGCAAGCCTATATTTAATACTTCTTCTTTAAATTCATATATAGTTTATCATTTAACAATTAAGATAATTATTGATCATAAGAGAATGATAAATATTCTTTATAATATAAGAGTAAAAATAACATAATAAAGAGTTAGAGAACAAAAGAAAAAGAAAAACATAAAGAAACATCACTGATACAATAGCAACACAAAACATAGATATATAATAGGAACAGTAGAAAGAGAAGAATTGGCAGAAATCCATTCCATAGATCTTTCAAATACAGATTCATTATCAACATATCGTTTAGAAAAATTGTTTATTGAAGATATGTAGCAAATGATTATATCTATATTTGATAATTCATAATTAAAATATTAACAAATTACTTTAGTCACATGTGAATATCAATTAATGACTATCATAATTTTTGTTCTTAAAAATATTGTTCATAAGAGTGTGTAAATACTTTTACAAGAATATCAAAAAATTTATTTGTCTGATTTATATGATTGTTATAAATAAAATTGTTTTCTAAAACTAATAATCTATTTTATTCAGTTGAAAATAAATTTTGATGCTTGAATAAAACGATAATTTATATAGAAACTACAATTTCTTTTATGAAAACTTTAGTTATGGGTAGTTCTTTAGAATAAAAAAAGTCATTTCTACTATGAACTAGATTTTTAGTATTCTCAGTATAGTTAATTTTGATGAGAGTTTTTGAATTATGATCGATAGAATATTTTTTATTTCAATTCATTGAGTATCCTAATTATTCTATGAAAAGTATTTATTAAGTAAGTTTCGAAGAGCTTTCCTGTTTCACGCAAAAATCTACTCACATGGGTTTATCACTTCATATTTCCACTTATTTATTGTGAACTACACTGCTTCAGCAAGAAGTTTTTTTTTCTTTAATGCAACATAAAATTCAAGAAAATTATTATATCCTTTATTGATTAATAACTTTAAGAATATTTATTTGTTCAGAATACATCCTGTTGACTTGAAAAATTGAAGAAGACGTTGGTTTTTTTACGTTCATAGATTATATGAATTTTCTAGGTGATTAAATTTTTGAAAGTATTCTGAATGTAGATTTTATGTGTTTTGTGTTAGTTAGTTCTCATAATTAGTTGTGATATGGAAAAAGTGTTTAAGAATTTTCTCACTAGTTTAGATCTTACGAATTTAAAAGATTAGTGAGCAAAACAGAACATATCACAATGAAGTATAACATATTCAAAACGTCAAAGAGTATTTGCAATAATTTTGCGAAACAAAATATATAAGGAAAGTAAAGACGTCATAAGCGTTATTGTTAATTTCCTAACAGCATACTGACGATGCATTTTTTTCCGAGAACAACGCAAATTTTTTTCCATTCTTTTTTGTAATACAGTTTTCCATGACGATGTAATTTCCATTATTCTGATTATAACAAACAAACATCATTGCGCAGTATTTTTTTTCTAATGGTTCTTTGTAAAGAAAATCAAATTATCTTGAGATAGTTTTTGTGTTCTGTACATATTTTATATTATAGCAACGTAGAACTAGAAAAAAAAGAGGGAACAGACACCATTCTGTTGGATAGGATACATTTCATTCGAAGAAAAAAAGACTGATTGTTTATGAAGATGAATAATTATTGAATTTATTTTAGAATGCTGAAAAGTAGTTTCTGTTGATTGATTTATTTCAAAAAAGTGTTTCTTATGTTGACATAAAGAATTAAATTTAATATAAAGTGGTCTCATATTATAAACAAATGAAGTGATTATTATTTCTGCATAAAACAAGATTTTAAGATATACGTATTTCCGCCTGCACATAAACGACGCAAAAAAATCATCACTCTAGATGCATGACTTGTTCAAAGTTAACCTCTACTACACAATCCTGACAAAAAAAAGTACAAACTTTGTTTTCCATCATACTGATGAAATTAAAAAATCATATTTCTAAATGCACTTTTTTCAAAGTGAAGCTCTGCTACACAATCCTGACAAAAAAAAGTCATGACTAGTTTTCCATTGCACTGATGAAATGAAAAAATATTTATGATGTGTGAAAAGAAAGAGGCATAGCTATAATATGGAGAAACGGTTCTAGAATTATCTCACTACTTTAGATCTTACGGATTGAAAGACTCAAGAACAAAACAGAACATGTCACGATGATATGTAATATATTAAAAACTCTAAAGAGTACGTGCATTAATTTTGATAAATAAAATGTGTACAGAAAGTAAAGACATCATAAACGTTCTTGTTAATTTCCTAACAGCATAGTAACGGTGTTTTTCTTCCGACATCAGCGGATATTTGTTATCATTATTTTTTTCTAATACACAATTTTCTTTGACGATGTAATTTCCATTATTCTGATTATAACAAACAAACATCATTGCGCAGTGTATTTTCTCCTAACGATTCTTTGGGGAAAAAAAGTGAAATTATCTTCAGACAGTTTTTGTGTTGTGTACATATTTTATATTATTACAGCATAAAACTAAAAAAGCGAACAGACATCATTCTATTGGTCGAGACATATTTTATTCGAAGAAAAAGACTCATTATTCGTGAAGATGAATAATTATTGGAGTTAATTTAGAATGCAGAAAAGTACTTTCTCTTAATTGATTTATTGCATAAAATATTTCCTATGTTGATGTACAGAATTAAATGTACTAAAAATGGTCTCATGTTATAAGCAAATGAAGTGATCATTGTTTCTACATAAAACAAGATTTTAAGATATACGTATTTCCACCTGCAAATAAACTACGTAAAAGAAAATCATTACACTAGATGCATGACTTGTTCGAAGTTAACTTTCACTACACAATCCTGAGAAAAAAATTAGTCATCACTAGTTTTCCATCGCACCGACGAATTAAAAAATTTCTATGATGTATGAAAAAAAAATAGAAAAAAAGAGAGAGGGAGAAAAAAAGAGAAAGATAGAGAAACTGAAAAGGTATTTAATGCTATGTCTTCACAATGCATTTCACTTACAGTTAAATTCATTTCTTAACTAACATTCTTGTTAGTTATGGGGTGGAGAAGAAATCTTTTATTGCTTCTGTTTCTTTTTTTTACACAATCAGACACACAAGATATACGATCATTTGATATATCTGAAATGACTGGTTGGCAATTCCAATGTTCTAACACAACTTGTTTACCATTTGCCACTTTCACTGTGTTGAATATCCTCCAGTGTCACGTGGCTTGCTTAGCTGAAGTCCGTTGTAAAGCAATTAGTTTTCATAAATCATCGTCTAATTGTGAATTATTTGCTGCTATATCAAACCAAAATGACAATCTTATGGTCAATATGGACACTATTACTATGTTTGTTACGGATGGAACACGAATCCCACTTGGTAAGTACAACTACGATTTAAGGGTGTGCGTGTGGATGCGGATCTTCTTCAATTTTCACACACATATTGAGGATGTGTGTATGCAGATTGAAGAAAAGCCGCAACCACACCCATGTCCATACCTACACCTACAATCTCATTTATTTAAAACAGAACCGACTACGACATCAACAACAACATCATCAACCACTGCATCATCAACATCGTCAACATCAACATCATCAACATCATCAACATCATCATCATCAACATCAACG